TACCGGAGTATGCACTTTTTGACTACAACTACTTTTTATGTATATTTTTATCTGTAGTTGTATAGTTTCTTTTCGGGGCAATGTTAGTTAAGTATTAATGGTTTTTATAATTTGGATAACGTCCATTTTTGTTTTGAAGTTGTGGGGAAGATGATTTAGCTGTTAATTGGTTATTGGGTACAGGCTTTGTTTAGTTGAATTGGACGAACCGTTTAGCGACAGTGAGGATGAAACTCCACGGGGACCAAGGAAATTGGAGTTGAATATTCCTAGAGGTCGTATTAGAACTCTTTCTGGCACTGTACCTATAGTTGGATACAGGTTAATCTCTAAAGTTTGTTTTTGCTCTGGCTGGTTAGTGTAGAGTACGCAGTTAATCAGGTAATTTGAACTTATATATTAAAGTGTAATTTTGTGTAATTTTAACTTAATCTTCAGTCCGAAATGGGGTGGTCCAACAATGTGCCTCAGTTGTTTGCAATTCTTCGATTTGCCGTCGATGGTAGATGAATTTGCAAAGTATGTGGTGTTTATGAGAATTTGTTCAATTGATTTTTTCTAAATTTTATAAATTTTCGTCACTAGATGGATATACGATGAGTATTTTAGGCATTTGCTGGAGTCGCATCATATAGTTGTGGTTGAAATGGGACTTATTGTTGATCTGAAGCGGTCAGCTACTTTCATTTACTTTCTCGGGTTAATGAAAATGAAAATTCTAACTTTTTAGCCATATATGCGTCGTGAAGCCTTTCCTCAGTCATTTTTCTGTAGAACATTATGCTCGTTATATAGAGTGTTTGTTTAATCACTGTACTTTTAGTGTGTAGCGTCATTTGGTGCCTTTTAATTTTGTTTTGTTAGGTTGGGTGGCAAGTCAAGTTAGGTACTCAAAAGTATTAGCCAGTTTGTCGAATATGGAAGCTTTGAGTTACTTCTTTTACAGTTCGAGCAGCATCGGTAATAAAGAGGTTTAGTAGTTCTTCGTTGCTGCTAAGTAAAATATTGGGGTAGCTTGAAAACAAAATTTACTCTTATGTTGAATGCGGATTAGCTTTCTTGTGAGTTTTCACTTGCGGATTCAAATTTTTCAATTAAATTACGAACTTCTTTTGTCGGCAGTTGCTAATTATGCGGATGATTTTGAAATTTATTTCCATCAAAGACCGTAATCCTGACAGCAATTGTTGCGCTGGTATTTTATATCATTATGCTGGACAGGTTTCAGTAGAAGTGGAGTTGGGGATTCATTTTTGCGGAGGAAGCTAGTTGTTGTCTTTTTAAAAAAGGTTTACCGTTTCTTGTTCATATGCAACTATTTATTCTTACTTGAACTAGCAAGTAAGATATAATGGTGAGCTGCATAGGGTAAGAAAAATAAGATGATATTTTCGAAGTTTGTACAGTTAGATGCCAGTTGTGAAACATAGTTACTTTACTTCAGTACGTTAATGCGTAGTTTCTCCAGCTCATTTCTTTACTTAATATCTTGAAATAGGTATGTTGAATACTGGAGGCAGCGTTTTGCAAAGACCAGTATCGACAAGGTGTTTCCAAAGATTGTTCCGAAAGAAGGTGATCCGTACTTTGGAACAACCGACTATTATTTTGAGATGGCTGAGAGTCTTCCAGAAGATTACTCGCTAAGACAAAGACTGGCTATGAGGCGCTTGGAAGAGGTTTGTTATCATTCTGCAAAATTTTTTGAAGGCGTGCCATATTTCAAAGAAATCGAGGTTTTTTTGGTCAATAATATTTTAAAAATAAAAAGTCGTATAGATTTTTGGTTACATTTATTTTGAAGCCTAAATATATATTTCTCTAGTTCGGGGTCGTTACGGCTGCTCTTTCAATTTATAGGTGTCGTTCATAAATTTTTATCCTTTCATGTTTTGTTATATTATGCGTTAACTTTTAATACGACCGAAGAAGTGTGAGCTGTATTTCTTGACTACTTTGGCTGGTGACCTATGGATTATTTAGGCGTTAGCTTGTCAGCAACGAGAACGTGAAGATTCTACTTTCTCACTGCAGTGCATATTCTGTCGATATGTAGCAGTTGGGAACCGCTCCAAAATCATTCATCATTTATATATGATACACCATTTGAATCTTGGGTCTCCTGATAATCTTGGTGATCTATTCTGTTATTTGAACTTTTCGTTAACTATGGGGTCTTTAGAAGTTTTGTATTTTTAATTGTTTCAGAGTGTCGTTTAAGACTTATGGACTTTTTGTATAGAGCTCAAAGTTGATTTTAGTCTCTAAATTAATGGGTGTTTCAGTTTTTGTCACTGAGTATATCGAGCACTTGAAGGAGAAGTTAGTGAGGTAAACTTCACTTGACTTTTTTTCTTGGCACTGATTTTTGCTGTAGATTGTTCTTTATTTTTTGCGAATGAAAAACGTTTTGGGAGTTTTGATCGTGTGCTGCTTACACTTTGTTTATTCTTTTCGGATTTTATCTTGAGCAATTTTTGACAGGAGTTTTATTTTTCATTTCTCAGAAACGAATGTATCTACTGCGAAAAAACGTATAGTGATAGAAACACTCTTATGGAGCACATGCGTAAAAGGAATCATCGGGAGGTCAACCCGAAAAACCATTATTACGACAAATTTTATATAATAAACTATCTGGTAGGTTAATCTTTTGTTCACTTTTTTGAAGTACATGTGATCACTTCCTGTGCTTAGTGACTTTTTAATACTATTAGGGTTGAAATTTTTCTAATGGTCATCTGTTAGTTTTATGTACTTGTCGGATACATCACGCACAGAACTTTTGAAGAGTTTGTGTTATTTAAGGAACTGGGGAAGCGTTGGCTAGATGTATTGGCGGAAGATTTTGAGGATACCATGCCCACCTTTGTTGATTCAGACGATGAGGACGAACAGTATGCCGTCTTTTTATTATATTTTATGGTATTCAAAGTTAGTTCTAATTATTTGTATGTAAGTTTATATGAGTCTGTCATTTTAGAGAATCATGGCATGAGTGGCAAGAAGACAATCTTGATATTGACCAAACCCGTGTCATTTGTCTGTTTTGTGACGAAAGTTGCGATACTATCGAGCCAATGCTTATACACATAAAGGTTATAATGATTTTTTTATTTTGGAATTATTATACCACTCATAGGCTCTACTAACTTCTACTTTATTCAACTTCATAGGTCAGAAGGAACTTTTGAAATTATTCCTGCGATATTGAACAGATTTGGTTTTAGGAGGCGCATGAATGCGATATCCTGGATATAATTGAGAAAGAAAATATGGATTTATACCAGCGCATGAAAATGATTAATTTCATCCGCAAACAGAATCATGACTTGACCTGCTTTGTCTGCAGCAAGGGAGGTTTCAGTAATCTGCAGGATTTACGGAAACATCAAGCCGAAAACAATCATCTTGCAAAGGGGCTTCCCGATAAAGCTTTATGGGATGCTGAAGAGTAGGCTTTTTTAGCTGCTATCATAAGAGAAATTTTCTGACTGAATTAGATTTGTAGGTCCTTGTTACTTCTCACTCATCGTAATGAGTTTTCTTTTGCTTTTTTTTACAAGTGCTTGTAGGAATTTGGTTCCTATCTATGGAAATGACCACTTATTATGGATGCTGGAGTCCTATATAGATGAGAAAACCGCCGTAAATGATATAGAAGAATTTCATCCGCGCACTCGTGATGAGCTGCAAAAGGAGTTAGTTAAAGAAAGTGAAGAAAACACTGTTCCTGGGGTTAGTTTCACGTTTAGGGTCTTTCACTGGTCTTTCAAATTTTTGCGGAAATTTAAACCGGAATGGCACAGGTGCTTTTTACTGGTCATTTAGTTGATTTCAAGGGCTTTTACTTTTCTAATTAAGGTTGTTGCCGAAGACTTGCCTGAGCTACGTAACAGCGCGCTTGCCGACAAAGAGCTGTATGAATCACTGAAGTGAAACCATTTTTTGGATTTGGGCTTCTTCAGGATTGTTTTGATGCCTCTCACCACTTCACAGCCGTCGCGCAGTTTCCGTAAACTATCTTTTGCTGTATTTTTGCAACTGCTCGATTTCTTCTAACTTAATTTTTACGGGAGCTTTTTGAAAAATTGCATATATTTTTTACAGCTCTTACTATAAGTTGTTGCATTTTATGAAAGGTGGGTCAAATAGAGTTTGTTCATGAGAAAATGTTTTAGTGGAAGTTATGTTGTTTCTACGTTTTAGGTTCTCGTAAAAATTAGTTGTACAGCAACTAATTTTCCAATATAACTGCTAATAAGCTGTTTCCACTCTTTGCGATTTCCGCCTTTTTCTTTAATTGTTTCGTTTTGTGTTCTTTAACTTTTTTTTTTTGTTTTGCTGGCGGGTTTTATATTTCTTTTCAATCAGTTCGTGTATTTTTCTTATGATTTGTAGGAATAGTAGTGAGGTAAGGTTTGTTGTAGTGTCAGGTAACTTCATTCCTTTTACAAGAAAATTAAGGTGCATAGTTCTCAAGTATTGTAGCGAGAAGTTATGATCATTTGCTACTAGTGTATGATTTGAACTGCATACTTTTTTGGGGATGAAAATAAGGGTTATTCATTTGTGGTTTGCAAAGCTGTCATACTTTCCAGACAATTTCATGCTCAGTTGTTGTTTTCAGTCTATATATCAGTCAAGTACCTTCTTAACTATGATTTCCGGTGTTATTGATTTTCATTTGCTGGTTACTTGTTTACTTTTTTGGGGGTTTTGTGTAAGGTGTTACTTATTGGCGTGCCAGCGCTGTACTATGTTTTTAAAGTTATCTTACGATTGTTCTAACACCGTCTGTTTACTTGGGATTTGATGATTAAAATCTTTGTTATTTCTCAGTTGTATTTTTTAGAATCATGTCGGGGCTGTAAGATACTTCAAGCTTATAATTTTATTCATGAGGCTATTATAAATAAGTAATTTCCACTTTATTGGTTAAGCTGTTTTGATTATAAGTTCAAGCTTGGTACTCTTCAGGACAACTGTAGAATAGATGATAGTTTATTCATAATCTTATATAAAAATCACGTATTTTTCCAATTTGCCTTATATCTTCACTTGCAGTTGTCCATTTGACTATGGCTGCGTGGTTGAGAGGCTTGTTGTTTCTCTCTTTGTCTTCAATAAAGTTTTACATAGTGTTTTTGACGCAGCTTAAGATCGGCAGAAATGAGGCAAAAATTTTGGTCGTTTGGAGGACTGCAAATCGTAGCTAAGCCGTACGACGCTGATATGAGGATCTCGCTCTTTTTCTAGCCATCCAGGCGTTTTGCTTATTAATAAATAGACAGTTATTCACTATAAAGTACATATACGAACTTTATGGGGTGCCATCACTTTTTTACAGTGGAGACTGAGCCGTTTGTTACTCAGAGACAAGTGGGAGTCACTGTCTTGCCGCAGAGTAGGAGGGTGGAGTCAGCTTGAGTGGTGTTTTGATCAAAGAAAAGTTAAATTTTTAAACAGTATATGGTGGTTGCAATTGTTAAGAGGATTAATAGAACCGGGATTGGGAGAGAAGTATGCTGTTAAATGATCATGGCTGTTGGGTGACTGTTACTGGATATTTTGCGTCCTACCACATATGTGGAAGAAGTGTATGCTAAATGAACACTTTCGAGTAAGTAGTAATTGTGCATTTGAATGGTGGGAGTTTCATCTTTGCTTTCTTCTCGTCTGGCTTAGTACACTAATTTGCTGTAGAATGCTTGCTAGATCTTGAGTCCAAATTGCGTTTTAAACATTTGGTAGAAAGCCCTGCAAAGTTTTTGCTTTTATTTGCTGTTTTTGGTGTGCAAAAATTTCTCATTTTTGAAATGTTTTTGGCTTTTTTTTTTTCTTAACTTATAACACTAGCTTCTGACTGAACGATGCCTTATAGGTTCATATTTCATTTTTATGATAGACTACTTTTGCTCAAGATTGAACGGTGGTTGAGTTGACCGTATAGTTTTTCGTTTTTTACAGCTTGTATTGCTGGGTCATGTGCTGTTATGTTGTGAAGTTTGATAAACGGAGTTGTAATTCGTTGTCATGGTTTTTTTTTTTTTTTTTTAAAAAGCAGTTTTTTAGCAAAAAAAAGTGTGAAGTCTTGAACAACAGAAAAGCGACAACTCACGAACACCACTGCAAATCGCGTAAACTACCGTTTAAATAGACTACTGTCGTGTAAAACAAAGCCATTGAACGAATGAAATATCAAGCCCATAACTGCTTCTGGAAAACCCGTAGTATGAGATTTTCCAAAGAAAAAAAAAAAAAACTTGAGAACATCTCAAAAATGATAGACGCCAGCATGCCATTAATTCATTTTTCTCTAGTTTTAGAGGCTTTATTGTAAAAAAGTAAGACTTAAAGTAAAATTTCTGCAAATAATTTACAAATGAGCTAAATTAGGTCTGGTAAAAAATAACATAGAAATAGTAAAAGTAGTATTTCAAACAAAAACAGAAAAAAAAACGTGTCTTTAAATCTTTTAGAAAGATATATTTGTGTAGTATTTTTTGCTCTACAACATATCAGATCTTGGTTATTTCCAACGTGTAAAGCACACAGGATTTTCATAGCTACTGTCCGCAGTTTTCATAAGCGGCTCAGGACGGTTTCTTCATGTAAAATACATGGGTTTACTGTAAAAAATAGTGGATTTTTTTCAGTTTTACATTACATTTCGGCTCGTAACTCCGATATCGAAGAATCGCCATCACAAAAAATTGATATTTTGTAGAGCAAAAGATTCTACACAAAATGTCTTTTCTAAAAAATTTAAATACACGTTTTCTTTTTTATGTTCTTTTGAAATATTACTTGTAGTATATCTATGTCATTTTTTATCAGAATTAAAATATTTGACAAGCATTTGATAAGCATTTAAAAAATTCAGGACATAACAAATCTAATAAATAAAAAGTTCTATTAGGGATAGGGTAATTACAAGTCTGCAAAGATAGGCATGTCAACTGGCAACCTGGCAAATTTTGCAACTTGAGGAGGTGTAACTTGGCGGAAAATTCACTTTTCCAGGTTTTCGTTTTTCGGCTTTTTCTATGCTAGCCTAGACTCGACTAATCAGCAAAATTCAAAGAAAATCTGAGATATGAAGG